CTATGGGGAGGGAGGGTAGGAGGATGACTTCCGCTTCCGATCACCTAGGCGATCGCAGCAGAAGTGGGAGCAGGTACCTGTCAATTTCGTAGTACCCTTCCCCCCCTGGGGAGCCAGGGACCAATCTTTAAAGCGGAACTTCCCCTTTTGGGTGGAACTCCACTTTAAGCTTTGATAATAAAACCTAGAAGCTGATTGGTTACAATGCACAGCTGCACCAGATTTTGTATGCTTCGGTTTTATTAAGCCCTCCTCTCTGTTCTAACATGGGGTTATCTGGATGTTGTGTACCTGTATTGTATGTGAATGAGGAGAAACGCTGTGTATTCTTTCATTGTCTGTGGGGACAGATTGAGTTTGCTTTCCCCCTCAGTGGTTCATGATCTCTCCTGCATTAAGTTCCAGGAGGACACGGAACTTAATACAATTAAATGCAAAAATCTATGAAAGTGTTAAAAATATAAATCACAATTTAAACAACAAAAATTTAAAGAACTCTGCTGCGGTTACACTGCGTGCACGCACACACACAAACACACTCAAACACAAAAGCATGAACAGATCACACATATGACATAAACTCCAGTTGTGCAACACATGTTGGGTCCCATCACACACTCTGGAGTGAGAGAAATAATTCTAGGTCCCTCATTTACGAATATTTAAAGGATAAGTTCATAACCTTTTAGACAAAAATAAATGTAAATTTTTTTTTGCAGGTAAAAAAAGTGCATTTATTATCAGTAGATCGCTGATGCCTTGCAGGTCTCTTGCAGACCTGTCAGAGTATCTGCTTGCCATACGGGATGTACACTCAAGCAGGTATATACTGACAGGAAGCTTCATGGAACTACCACAGCTCTCGCCAGCGCCATGGTAGTTCATTGAAAACTACAAGCCCATAGGCGCTAAGGAGGTTCCCCTTATACCTTGCAGATCACGAAGATTTCTGCCATGCTATCCTTAATGCTTGGAATGATTATGCCCTCCCTAACGCGGAACATGTTACCGACCCTAATTTATTTTGGGAAACGGCCAAGGCAGTTATGAGGGGCAAAATCATATTCTATGTTTCTCGGTATAAGAAACGCTCCTTGTATCAGTTTTGTCAGGCCAGCAATGCCCTTCGGAAAGCCCAATTAGAACTATATCAAAACCGATCCTCGGAAGCGAGACAGACATGGCAGGAGGCCAAGCGGTGTTTCGAGTTGTGGGTAGACCAAAGAGGATCAAAAATTCTTATTGATCTTTACAATTTCACACACATGGGAACAAAGCTGGATAACTTTTAGCTAATCTTTGTCGTGGACCCTTCACCCCTACACATATCATGGCACTCAAAAATACTAGAGGAAATATTACAACCTCTTCACCAGAAATAACATCTTTACTGATGCAATTTTACTAGCAATTATATTCAGAGGAACCGGTGGATATGCATAGGGCGGAGACATTCCTTAAGTCAATTCACATGCCCCGTTTGTCACAGGCCCACTTAGACGCGCTGAATGCCCCTATCTCCTCGGAAGAGATTCTGACCACCATAGGAAACCTTTCCAACAACAAGGCCCCTGGCCCTGATGGCTATTTGCCTGAATTTTACAAATTGACCAAAGAATTTGTATCTCAAACCTTACTCCATGTCTATAACAATATATGGCAGGGCGGACCTTACCTCCCTACGGGATCCACAGCACTTATGAAACTACTGGACAAAAAAAAGCAAATGCCCTACTCTCCCTGGTTCGTACTGTTCTATTTCGCTTATTAACATTGACACTAAAATATTGTCCAGAATTGTCTTCTCTCGTTTCAGATCGGCCTTCTTACATATCCGTAAATTTATCATGGCCCTAGAACATGCTAAACTTCACCCTGACTAAGATACTGCCATCCTCTTCCTCAATGCCGAAAAAGCCTTCGATAATATCAATCTGCAGTGGTTGCTCTTAGTGTTGAGGAAGCTAGGGTTTCAGGGACCAGATAACAAATTTATTCCACTCCATGTACTCATCCCCTACAGCATGCATGGTTACTCAGGGCACTGTTTCAGCCCCCATTCATCTACAAAACGGAACGCAACAAGGATGCCCCCTATCCCCATTGCTGTTCAATCTGGCCATTGAACCTCTCTCCAGGTTACTCAATTCTCACCCCCTTCTGTCAGGGATCAAAATTGGTAATGTCATTATGAGGGCTGCTCTTTTTGCAGACGATATCCTTATCTTCTCTTCAGTGGTCCCCTCCGATCTTCCTATTATTCAAAATCTTTTCTCTACCTTCCAGCTTTGCTCTGGTCTGCGCATCAACGCCACCAAAAGTGAAATCCTCCCGCTAAATTCGTCACGCTCCTGGTCTTGGGCAAAATCTTCCCTACTCCAGGTAGCCTCCCATCACATCACCTATCTGGGCATCAAGATAGAGAGAGAGCTTGCATCACTTTGTCTGAACTCTCCCTCTATTTTTAATCAAATCATTTGAGAATTGGAGGCTTGGACCTCCCTCCCCATTTCACTCTTCAGTAGATGTCATCTTTATAAAATGGTATCCTTTGCGAGACTACTATATCCTCTGCAAATGCTACCTTTATTGCTCAAACATAAGGATGTTCAGACTCTACACAAATCTCTGCTAAAATTTATGTGACGATCCAAACGCTCCCGCATTGCCCTCCGCAAACTATATCTTCCGAAGAGTGATTGGGGAATGGGTCTACCCAATATACGTCTATACAATCTGGCCTGTTTTCTTAGACAAGGGATAGACTTGTTGACTCATAATTCTATATATTCCAACTATACCCTGGAGACAGCCCTGGCCCACCTTTACTTTGTCTGCGATCTTACATGCACCACTTAAAACGATACACACTTGTTTGAAACATAACTCGCTCATCCGACACACTGTGATAGCATGGCGGGAAATCTGTAAGTTGACTGGTGTTCCTTCCAACATCTCTAAACATCTTCCCATACTGGGAAATGCACAGTTCCCTCCAGGACTGACCCATGAAGCCTTCATTTACTGGTCCTCCCAAAGAGTTAACGGATATTGCATCCTTACTAGATCTTAGATCTGGCACTTCACTCATTCACGGAGGTGTCCCAACAGTTTCCCTTACTTCCACATCACATATTTTATTATTTTCAACTGGCAAACTTCATTAAATCGCAGCTAAGAGGAGACAGGCTGGACTTGCACACCCAGTGATTGACAGCGTAATAAAACAGAACTCTATCTCCTCACTGTATCCTCAGCTTTTGCACCACAATTCATCTCCAGGGAACGAATCTCTATTTAAGGGCTGGTCTAAAGACATCCCGGAGTTTGCTGATACTACTAAAATTTTGGAAGGTTACAATATGATCCGTAAACTTATTATTAATGAGCAATGGAGGGAGACCCAGTTTAAACTTATTCATAGGGCGTTCATACCGGCTATGATGGATGCCTCAATCTTGTCCTAAGCTGTTTGTTCTTGGTGTTGGGTCCCTAAACCCACCCTCTTTCTGTTCTGGACATGTAAACCTATTCAGACTTACTGGAACCAAATTATCCACTATATACTTGGAATTACTAAAACAAACATACCTAATGACCTGCTGATTTGTCTATTCAGTGTTACTGCATCCATGGCAACAAATGCACCTTGTGCGGGACAGCCTAGGTCTCTGCTCCATGAATACATTTGTGTCTTTTAACTGCCAGGAGAGTTCTATTGAGGGCCTGGATCTCCCCTCAAAGTCCAACCCTAGCGTCTGTTGAAGACCTGAAATCACTTCTGTACCTGGAAAAATTGTATGCTCTGGTACAGAATTTCGGACCCACTAAACAATTTTTCACGCGCTGGAGGGCATTTATCGAACATACTTTTTGCTGAGTGAAATTTGGCACCTTATGACCACATTTCAGTTTACTGCTTGGTATGCCAAGTTCAATCTGGCCAACACCCTGGGCAAACTTGGAGTACCTGACTCTCTTCCTGCTGTGGGGAATGACCCCCACCCGAGGGGATACTCACTACACCCATCTGGTTAAAAAAAAAAAATTTTTTTTTTTTTTTGGGTGTGTCAGGGATTGACCTCCCACCTGTAAATACGCCTCAGTACTTTCTTTCCCCTTTCCCCCAGGTGCTATCTCAAGGCCCAGCCTGCATGCTATATAGTGACCTGTATGAACCTGTTCCATATGTGAGATTGTTCTGTTAATTCCTATTACCTAATGCCTCACGTGTGATTACTTAGGACGGAAGGGGGGTTTCTAGTCCATAAATCCGACATTCCCTACATGTTTTCTACCAAACCCGGATGATAACATGTATTGAATTGTCTAGTAAGCAACCCTATATAATAGTCCTTTGATTTGTTACTATTGTAAGACCAATTTTCATTTGGCATTATACCTTTTAAGCATGTTATTCGTGGTTTTTGTATTCACAACTCTGGAAGATGTCATTTCAAGTCCAGTTGATTGTTTGTTTGTTTTTGATAAAAGTTTATATTTGGAAATGTGAAAATATGAATAAAGATTATTGAAAAAAAAAAAAAAAAAGACGAAACATTTAATATGTTCCCAAAGTGACATTGATAAGTTTAGTTACCATAATTCTTTCACTATTTCATGGGCACACAGCGTTGAGACACCTTTAGTATCTATTCAACACAACCTCCTCTTTTTATTTTGTACATTAAAATTTTAGTAAAAATATAAATCGTGGATTTTTAGATTTGATAAATGATTGCGCAAATGTTGTAAAACATTTCAACTGCCATCTTTTCATTTTACAGGGCCTCATGTTTTCAAAAAATATATAATATTCTGGGGGTTTTAAATACATTTCTACCCAAAATGCAGATTTTAAAATGTAAAAAAAAAAAAAAAATTTTCTCCACAGTGGATGTGGTTAAATTGTCTTAATTAGGTGTTCATGTAGGTCCCATATATGTTGCTTACCATTGCAGTTTTGTGAGCACTGTTCTTCCCTGGATTTTTATATTGCAGATGCATTGCTTGCTGACCTGGAATCTACCACATCTCATATTTCCAAGCGGCCTGTCTTCTTATCTGAGGAGACCCCATATTCCTATCCCAGTGGGTGTCATACCTACCAAGAAATTTCTGTTCCAGCTGCACCCACGAGCGAGTCCCTCAATGGCACAGTTCATGCAGACCCTTTGGATTCCTGGACCAGCAGCTCCAATAAATATTCACATCAGCAGGTAAATATTAAGTTATTTATTTATATATATATGTATGTGTGTGTGTGTTTTATATAATTTTTTTTAAATAGCATGTCATACTTGCCTGCTCTGTGCAATGGTTTTGCATAGAGCAGCCCTGATTTTCCTCTTCTTGGGTCCCCCTCCAGCACTCCAGGCCCCTTTCCTCCTGCTGCTGAGTGCCTACAGAACAAGCTGCTTGCTCTGGGGGCACTCCTGTATATTTTGCTCCCGAGCTGCCTCTGTCTGAGACGCACAGAGGGTGGCTCAGCCCCGCCCCCTACTCCCTCTTCACTCACATTGAGAATGCATAAAAGTAAAAAAACCTTCAGGCTTTAGAACCACTTTAAGTGAAAGGCTTTGAAGCAGACTTTAAGCTGTCTTTCATATCATAAGAGGGTATCAGAATCTACACACGGTTATTTAAAAAATCTAGTAAAATATGTTGGGACTCATGATAGTTATATATTGTTTGAAGGAAGTCTGATTAACAAAGTAATCAGATGATCGTGGTTACCATATCTAACTAGTTCAGCATTTTGGACATGCATAGGACGTTCAAAATGTTAACAGATTAAAGAATAACCTTTACGGCTGTATTAGCAGCTGCAAGCTTGTTTCAGCATTGTGCAGCTGGCTCAGGACTATTCCATAAAATGTCCTGGGCAGCTGTGGAGCCACCCGATCACTGAAATGAAAAAAAATTGCTCTAGAAAAAGTATTTTGTAAATGTATTCCATATAACAAATATCCCTACCAAATGGGGAAACCCAATTATGTACCTCCAGTAGTTAAAAATTCAGACTATGCTAAACATATAGCTGTCGCTGACAATAACATAGGCTTGAGTACGTGTATTTTATACATCTAGATAATTCTTGCAGTAGTAATGTATAGCAGTTAAACACATTTTTATCCTAGAAGTCCATTTGTTCTCATATGCTGTGTTATCTCAAGCAGTGTGTCATCAGTCCTGCCTAGCTTACTTCTGTGAACTATAGAACTTCTCCCTCCCATAGCATGGCGGTGGGGGTTGTTTTGTAATTCCTGTCATGTGGTGACAACCCTGCTTCTCCATTGATAAAGTACAGTGAGTTAGTGTTGTCACCTAGGACAGGATGTGTGTGATTAGCAGGTTCACCGGGTCAATATAAAGGCAAAAAACCTGTACAAATTAAACTAATGCAGCCAAGACCTCTAAAAGCTGCTGCAATATGTTGTATGTTTTTTTTTTTTCTTGAATTTAGATCCACCAAACACAAAAAATGTTCGTGTAATGTGTAAATCCAATTTAGAGCCCCCTCTAGTGGTTAATCTGTAAATCTTTATATTGAAAGGACTAAACCTGAGAGTTGGCAGATATAGATTTATGGTAGAAGAGACTGTATATGCCTGTTTTTCTATGACATTTTTTTTTTCTCTCGTGCCTGCTACCGTTTTTTTTTTTTTTTTTCTGACAGCTGTGCGTACACAGCTTGATGTACAATCCAGCTTCTGTACTGTGTAAATGCAGGGTACTTGGATGAATGAACTCCAGTGCTCAGAAGTTACATCCTATCCCAGCTGAACAAGATGGCCAAAGACTGCTGAACACAGTAACAGAGTAGATTGTGGGCATTATTATTATTATACAGGATTTATATAGCGCCAACAGTTTGCACAGCGCTTTACAATATAAGGGAGACAATACAATTACAATACGTTTCAGTACAGAAGGAATAGGAGGGCCCTGCTCGTGGAGCTTACAATCTAAAGAGTAGATTGTGGGCATTGCAGCGTTTTTTTTAGATACACCACTTAGATGAGCCTAAACCTTGGTCATTTTTACTGTTCTAGTATCTGAGATATAAGAAGCCAAGGGCTGACTCCAGGCTTCACCAATATCAAAAATAACACTTTTGAATGTGCATCCCCTTGAACCTAATGCTACCTTGCTCCCAACGCATTGCATGCGCTTGTCCTATCCCTGAAGGCCAACAGACTGAAAACAAGTGGGTGGAGTGTGTCTTAGGTTGGGCACTCTTTGAATCAGCTAGAGACCGATCTTGTCCACTCCTCTGTAGGTGGATGAAAGAGCAGGCCTTTTGTTATAGGAGAGGCTGTCAAAACTGCATACATGTGCAGGCTGACCATTTCCAGATGCCAATTTAGCACTTTAGGTTATAGAGCCAATGCAGCCACAAGTGGTGGTTTAGGTATTTTAGTTGTAGCTAGAGCCTTAGAGGATGAGTCAGTTTCTGACTTATATTCCTTTGAGATTTTTCTGCATTACTTCCTATCCTGTCCAACTTTGCATGTTTCAGCACCTATTGTTGTATTCTTCATAATACAAATTAAATGTTCTATACAACGTGGAGAATGGGAACCCCTCATAATGACCACAGCAGATATGCAGACCCAGGAACTCAAATGTAAAGATCTGCACACACGGGCTGAATATCGGATGGTATCGGCCGGTTCAATAGAAACTGGCCGACATTCAGCCTGTGTGTACAGCAGCTGGTCTGACAGAAGCCAGCGGAACATCCGCCTTCTGTCAAAGGGGCATGACCAGAAAAGGTCATCTGATCGGCATCCGAGTCCTGAGAAATATATAAATTGTCAGGTTGGTTAACTCTCCAGCATCCACCAAAACCTGAACTATCAGTTTTGGGTGGGCTGACTGTTAATTGTACAGCTATCCTTTTAGATTTGAGTCTGTTTTCTGTGTGGTCAGAACTGTTCCGTTAACTTGAGAAAGTGTTGTAGTGACTGTCAGTTTACATACCTACATACGTAGTGAGGACATTTGACTGGCCCCATGTACATGCTGTAATTATTAAACACTAGAACAATGTTTTTCAAACATTGTGCCACATTAAATAGTGTATTTACATCAGAGACTGTTTGCCCATTAGGGGCCCTTTTACAAAAACATTGTCACTTTAAATTATTTTAATGATTACTTGGCTGTTTTCCCCTTTCCATAAATGTTTTTTTTCACTTCCAATGTCCCTCTGAGCTTACTTGAAAATCTGACTACTCCAGGAAGTGGCCATTCTCTAATACAGTAAAAATAGAGGGTTGGATGAGTAAATAAAAATGAGGGATATTGTAAATTTTAATTACAATTCACCTGGCACATAGTATTGACTGTGTAAGGCACTCCAGGGTGACAGGAGTTGGAGAAGATGATAGGATGGTATGTAAAATGGATAAGAGAATGGTGGAATGAGCTGATGGGAGTGGAGAGTGATAGGAAAGAGGAACGTGCTGTTGTAAAGGAAAGATGGAGCTGTCAGGAGGCAGAGATACTCCACAGAGCGGAGAGCATAATTATAAGAGCAGAAGGGTTGCTGGTGAAATGGGAAAAGGGGGATCATGGTGAAAAAAAGATATTCTCTTCAGGGATGGGAGAAGGGGGCAGCAAGGCATTGCTGTAACAGTAGTGTTACCTTTGCTGTGCAGTCCACAGAGCTCTCCTTCCCCACAAGGCATCATCTAGCTTTTTGTCAGAGCTCCATCCCTAATCAGCACAACCAGACCCTCAGCGCCCAGGAGGAGGAGCGGCTGTAACTCAGTTGTTGGATTTTTCAGTTTCATGGTTGTGGTGCTAGGATGGGAATCTGGGATGGAGGTGTGTAACCATGCAATGGGGTCAGAAGAGCTAATTTGAATTGGTCATGGGGTAAAGCTAAGGTGAGTGATTGAGGTGGCACACAACTCAACAGCAGAGGAGCTCTCAAAGAGTCAAATTAATGTCATTCGCGCTGGATTAATGTTATGCATTTCCATATTGCAGTCAGACCAGCCGCCAGCACCATAACGACCAATGATGCCCACCCCATGGAAACACATGACACTGTAAAGCACCACTAATAATTTTTTTTTCTGCACTTCCTGAATGTGCTGGCGAGTAGACTTGAAAGGGGGGGGGGGGTATTCCCAGGTTGGGATCTGCTGCTATATAAAGTTTTTCTTGAGTGACAGCTCTGAGTCTCCCATCCAAGATGGCAGTGCTTAGCAGCAGTCTTGGGACTTTGGATGTCTACATAAGGGAGAAACATGCTTAAAACAAATGAAATGCACATATAATTTTGTGGCAGGGTTTTTGTCTTTTAAATGAATAGTTGACAACAGTGATTCTAGAGAGACATTCTCTTTAATTGTTGAACTAAGTTGAAATATCTACTTATTGAGTTTAGTCTCAAATCTTAAAAACTAGTAGCTAACTGCTTTTACCCTTCTGACACCCTTATTATTTTTCCCCCAGAAATCCCCTTCACAATTCTTCAACGCTGAAGGAGAGTGTTATCTCCCCTTCTGCTGGAGAAGAGGAGCATGTGTACAGGTAAGCATTATTGGATAGCTTTGTAATGTTCTCCCACTGTCTGTGCCCCTGCTTGATATGGTCTGCTTTTGTTCTTGGGGCAGCTTTCCTAATAAGCAGCGATCTGCAGAACCATCTCCCACTATCATAAGCACGTCTCTGGGCAGCAATCTGTCAGAGCTGGATCGTCTACTCCTGGAATTAAATGCCGTGCAGCAAGGACCTCCAAGTAGTATATCATCAGGTGAGACACAAGTGTACATTGATGCTGTGTACCACTTGGGCAGCTTTTGCTTAACTTGAAAGAAAAGTTTCTCTGCATAGTTTTTACATATTGCAAATTGGATCATAAAACTTTTTTTGGCTTTGGTTACAAGTGCACTAAGCCCCATACAGTTTGAGGAGCCTTTTTTTTTTTTTTTAAATCTTTTGGAGTCACGCTGAGCTGCACTCAGGCAGCCCATATGTGTAATTGGAAAATTACACAGAACACAGACAGTGTACGCTCAAGGCTGTGTAGCAGTCTTTTCAAACTCAGTTGTGTGGGTGAGTCCCTAAAGCTGCTGTGTCGCCATTTACTCATTTAGGCTGCTTGCACACAATTTGCGCTACTCTTGGGCCAATAATTTTAGTCACTGCATTTTAGCATCTGTGCATGTAGTTGTACAGGAATATGATTTCAGTTTTAATCCTGTCCTCAAGCAGAAAAATAAATGTTTTGCATCAGTCAGTAATTCTTGGAGACATTTTTTTTTTTTATTTACAGATGACCTGAACAGAAACATCTCTCAGCCCTTGGCTCCTCCTGTCACCAGTGTGTCTGGTAACTCTGCTATTAAGATTGGGCAAGCCTCAAAGGAAAAGCCTAAACGAAATGGAGCACGGGGAATAGAGGATGTCCGTCCAAGTGTGGAAAGCCTTCTAGATGAACTTGAAAGCTCTGTACCTAGTCCAGTGTAAGTACTACTGCTTTAAGATTAGTTTTTGCCACTCTTTGAATCTGTATTCTGCTCATTAATATAATTCCCATACAGCCCATCAATTACTGTGAGTCAAGGAGAGATAAGCAATCCTCAGAGGGTCAGTCCCAACGAGCAGCAAACTCGAATCTCTGCCTCTTCTGCAACACGTGAACTGGATGAACTCATGGCATCACTTTCTGATTTTAAGGTATATTTTCTAAAATAACTGTTCATGGAGTCCTCTGTCCCCTCCCTCTCCTCTCCCCTCTCCCTCCCTCTCCCTCTCCCTCTCCCCAGCCCTCTCCCTCTCCCCCTCCTCCCTCCCTCTCTCCCTCTCCCTCTCCCTCCCCTCTCCCCTCCCTCTCCCCTCCCTCTCCCCTCCCTCTCCCCTCCCTCTCCCCTCCCTCTCCCCTCCCTCTCCCCTCCCTCTCCCTCCCCTCCCTCTCCCCTCCCTCTCCCTCTCCCTCTCCCTCTCCCTCTCCCTCTCCCTCTCCCTCTCCCTCTCCCCTCCCTCTCCCTCTCCCCTCCCTCTCCCCTCCCCTCCCCTCCCCCTCCCTCCCTCTCCCCCTCCCCTCCCTCCCTCTCCCCCTCCCTCCCTCTCCTCTCCCCCTCCCCTCCCTCTCCTCTCCCCCTCCCCTCCCTCTCCTCTCCCCCTCCCCTCCCTCTCTCCCCTCTCTCCTCTCCCTCTCTCTCTCCCCCTCTCTCCTCTCCCTCTCTCTCTCCCCCTCTCTCCTCTCCCTCTCTCTCTCCCCCTCTCTCCTCTCCCTCTCTCTCTCCCCCTCCCCTCCTCCCCTCTCCCCTCTCCCCCTCTCCCCCTCTCCCCCTCTCCCCTCTCCCCCTCTCTCTCCCCCCTCTCCCCCTCTCTCTCCCCTCTCTCTCCCCCTCTCTCTCCCCCTCTCTCTCCCCTCTCTCTCCCCCCCTCTCTCTCTCCCCCCCTCTCTCTCTCTCCCCCCCCTCTCTCTCCCCCCTCCCCCTCTCTCCCCCCCCCCCCCTCTCTCCCCCTCCCCCCTCTCTCCCTCCCCCTCTCTCCCCCTCTCTCCCCCTCTCTGCCCCCCCCCCCCTCTCCCCCTCTCTCCCCCTCTCTCCCCCTCTCTCCCCTCCCCCTTTCTCTCTCCCTCTCTCTCTCCCTCTCTCTCCCCCCTTTCTCTCTCCCCCCTCCTCTCCCCCTCCTCTCTCCCCCCTCCTCTCCTCCCCCCTCTCTCTCTCTCTCCCCCCTCTCTCTCCCCCCTCTCTCCCCCCCCTCTCCCCCTCCCCCCTCTCCCCCTCCCCCCTCTCCCCCTCCCCCCCTCTCTCCCCCCCCCCTCCTCTCCCTCTCTCTCCCCCCTCTTTCCTCCCTCTCGCTCTCTCCCCCTCTCCCTTTCGCTCTCCCCTCCTCCTCCCCCAAGCAACATTGACTGTTTTTATCCCTTCTGTTACTAGCATTGGTAAATAGATAGGAAGGTACATTATATTTACCTTTGTTAATCACTTGACCTCCGGAAGACTTATCTCCCTTCATGGACAGACCATTTTTTTGCAATGCAGTGCTGTTACTTTGACAATTGCGGCCATGCAATGCAGCACATAAATGAAATTTTGTCATTTTTCTTTCCCCACAAATAGCTTTCTTTAGTGGTATTTGATCACCTTGAATACACAAAATAACACCAACATAAAAAAAAAAAAAAAATTAAAAAAAAGAAAATAAATTAATAAAGAGTATTTAATAGAATACAGAAAATCTAATTTCTTCAAAAATGTATTCGGCTACAAAAAAAAAAAAATTAAGCATTTTTGTTTGGTTTGCGCAAAAGTTATAGCATCTACAAATGGTGCTGTGTGTATGTACTGGATATTTTTAGTTATTTGTTTTCTTTAAACGTTCGTAATGGCGGCGATCAGAGACTTTATAGCAGGACTTTGATACTGTGGCGGACAGTCTGACACTGACACTTTGTGGGAACCAGTGACACTAATACAGTGATCAGTGCTAAAAATATACACTGACCCTGTACTGATGACACTGGTTGGGAAGGGGTTAAACAGCTAGGGCAATCAAAGGGTTCATTGTGTGCCTAGCCAGTGTTTTTGTGTATAGTGTGCTGTTTACTAGGCAATCTGCTATATTTTATTCCCTGAATAAAATCTAGCAGATCACCACTGACCTAAAACAGCTCTGCCTTGTTTACATAGGCAGAGCTGTGTTATGTCAGTCACCTCGGTGATCAACAGAAATGCTAGGGAGGTGTTTTTCAAAGTGATTTCTTAGCAAACTAAGGCATGGATGGATGGGGGAGTTTGCTTTGAATTTTGAAAATTAATTGTATAGCTATTTTGATTTGTGGTGCTCAGATGCAGTGTAGTTGTGTTTTTAAGGTTTTAGTTGTTCTACTACATTTCTGAATGGTGTCTTATGAGAAATGTTCATGTCGGAGCAGCAGGCCAACTCTGTTTTATTTTAGCGTGCCTGTTATATTTCTTTAACCACTAGCCTACAGGGCACTTATACCCCCTTTCTGGCCAGGCCAATTTCCAGCTTTCAGTGCTGTCACACTTTGAATGACAATTGCGCGGTCATGCAACACTGTACCCATATGAAATTTTTATCATTTTTTTGTGACAGAGCTTTATTTTGGCCGTATTTAATCACCTCTGGGGTTTTTTATTTTTTCTTAAACCAAAAACCACTGAAAATTTTGGATAAAAAAGTTTTTTCCTTAGTTTTTGTTATAAAATTTTGTAAATAAGTGATTTTCTCCTTCACTGATGTGCGCTAATGAGACTGCACTGATGGACACTGATAGGTGGCACTGATGGGCACTGATGAGGAGGCACTGGTAGGTGGCATTGACGGGCATCACTGATTCATGGCACTGATATATAGCACTGTTAGGCGGCACTGACTGGCACTGTTAGGTGGCACTGACTGGCACTGTTGGGCGGCACTGGTAGGCACTATGTGGCACTGTTAGGCACTGACAGGTGGCACTGCTGGGGCTAAACTGATCATCAGGGCACACTGATCATCAGTGCCCTGATGATCAGTGTACATGTCCTCTCCTCTCGGAAAGCCGATTACCAGCGTGACAGCTCGAGAGGAGAGAAATGCCGATAACCGGCATTTCCCTGTTTACATGTGATCAGCTGTGATTGGACACAGCTGATCACATGACCGAGCCGACATCTTTGGCTCTTTCCGTGATCGGTGATCCGCTGTGTCCGAGGGACACAGAGCACCGCTGATCGCCGCGCTGCGCGCTCCCTGAGACGCGCATGCGCAGTGAGAATGGGAGGATGTCATACGACGTCCTCCCAGATCGAGAGAACCATCTTGCGCCAGTCATATTACTATATGGTGGGCGGGAGGTGGTTAAACACAGATTGGCATCAAGCTACCAGCACAATATGATGGTGTGTATTGTTGTGCTTGGATGCCTGCTGTCAGTGCTGAATTATGCTATTCTGATAAAAGGTTTCTTCATGTGCTATAGCATTTTCCTGTAGTAACAGCCACATGCTGCCAGTTACTACTTGCTCTATTTTTCACTTATGCTTTGTGCGTATTGTCTTTGCAGCTTTTACTTTTTTGATTCTGCAAAGTCTTCAATGCCATATTCTGAACAATAAGCTTTGTGTCCACTTTGTCATAAATCCTTCCACCCAATTGTCCCTTTTCACTTCACCTCTTTTGTTTTTGCTGGGTTTCCCTCACAGGCATAAAACTTCATAGAATGGATGTGAATCTAAAGCAGATGATTTGAAATAATCCTGTGTAGACCATAGCAACAATGCCCAGGACTGAATGTACTTGGTGCAATTTCACTTTTCCAGCCAAAGTGAGATAACACCTACTTTCTACTTATTACATGTTTCCCTGAAAGTGGTATAAGGGCCCAAGGTTAGTGTTAATCTCTTTGTCCATGCACATTAGGGAGTTTACAGGCATATTTGCAGAGAAGCGTTTTCAGGCCAAAAATAAATCCAAATTGTATTTTTAAGAGGGGCTAGCAAGCAGAAAAAAAGCGCTTAATGTTCGTAAATTCAGCTATCTAGTTTGCATGGACCCTAAGTAACTAAAATATCTGAAAATTGCTGTTTTACATTTTAAGGTGCTTTTTGCTTGTTTTAAGAGGAACTTCAGACAACCCATACTGAAAACAAACACAGAAAAATGCTTTTTTACATTGTGGAGGTGGGAAGGAGAGCAATGATTTCCTGGGCATCCAGTGGGTGAAGGTCTCATTTTAATTAGCTACTTCACTTTTACCCCTATGTAAGGAGGTGGCTGTGGTGTTAATGTTACCATAAGTAACCCTGTCTGTGCTGTCAAATCTCATTGTGTTGTAAACTAGATCTCAACACTGTCCTCACAAATGGGGCTTGCATTCCGCATTGTTTGCTAATAATGGTAAACAAGAGCCGGCCATAGATAGACCGAATCTGGCCAACTTAGCAGGGACTACCCAAGATTTGATTCATCTATTGGGCAGGCTGGTTGTACTGAAGTCACTCCTTCAATCGACAACAAATTCAACTAGCTTCTCAAATTTTTTGCATGCAATCACTGTCTGTGGCTTTAGCCATTTTGAAGGCTCCCCGCTGGTAGAACACAATAGCAAAGCAGGAGGGGTTCACTCGTAAACACTGAATGTGTTGATGGGGAAATTAAGAAATTTTCTTTCCTGCAACTTGTGGTTGCAGGAACGAAAATTGCTTAATGTATGGCCTGCCAAACTCTGTCTTCACTTTGTCTATTTGAAATTGTCCAGGATAGCTTGCATTGCTGTGTATAATCATACGTCAAATAAGCAACTATACATTTTTAAGAAATATTTTTAGTTTTTTCGGTATGCTGTGTCAATGGGAACACATAACTCACACATAGTGAGGTTTCCAAAGTTTTCACAGTAAAATTGGAAACTCGTTCTAACTTTCTACTTGGGTCAGCAGAGCCATTTAATTAGTCCCAGCAAAAGTAGCAAAGGAATGGGACTAGAGAGTAGGAATTATGGCCATTTTGATGATTTATGTGCTATGTACTTATTGATGAACACAATTTTTTTTTTATCCTCGAAGAACCCCTGAAAACATTTTTAGGATCTCAGGGGTCCTCTTAAATTTCTCATCAGCAGCTTCTTTTACAATATTGTAGCCAGTGAGTTGTAGCTATAACAAGCACTGATCAAATCTAAAACTGTATTTTGTGCTAAATATCTAAATACCATTCAC